TGTTAACTCTATGACTGGTATTGAGCGCTTTCCAATAAGTACCCGCCCATATATAATATATAAATAATATATGCAATAAAAATTGCATATATATATATATATTCATAAGCATTTCACTCACACACACACACACAGATATATATATATATATATATATATTAGGCAATAGACATAATGTCTTACATTATATATTATTACATTATCTATTGCTATAATGTAAGATATTATATTACTATAATGTAAGATATATATGGGAAAATAATTCTTGAATATTACTCGCTTATTTTTGCCTTACCAGATTTTGAATTATTGCACTTTGTGTCCTCCATATGTTTTGACTAAGCTTTCATACATCAGATGAATATTGATGAAAATTATCAAATTTAAAAGCCTTGATAAACCACTGACATAGTTGCTCTTATATAAACTCCTGCAGCAAAATAAATCCTACATTTGCGTTGATAACGTCCCTCAGAGGACGAAATGCATATGTATATATATATATATATATATATATATATTATTTGGTTGGATTATGATCCTGGTTCTCACGCTTTTGCGATCGTCAGACAAACTGATTATTTTTATTAAATTTTAGATTTATATAGAATGCGTGTATTAGTGTTATTATGGAAGTGTGTGTGTGTGGGGGGGGGACCCAGGGTCACAAACTCACATTAATCCAACCAAATATGTTAGCTCTATGTCTGATATTGTGCGCTTTCTAATAAGTAGCGCGCATATAATATATAAATGATAATATTTACGTAGTTGTCTTTTTACTCGTTTTAGTTTTTCTTTTCTTCTTTGGACTTGGAACTTGAACACTGGACGATTGTTTTCGCCTTGGTTTAATGTTCTTGGTTCTTTTTTTTTTATTCACCATTTTTCCTTGGGTACCGATTTGTTCTACTGCAAGTTGAGCTATCCGATACCACCATTTATATATATATATATATATATATATATATATATATATATATATATATATATATATTCACACACACACACACACACACACACACATAATTGCAGTGTGTGTGTGTGTGTGTGCGTGTGCATGTATGTATGCATGCTGATGTCCAAAATCTTAATGACAATAAAAATAAAGAAAAAATATAGCTTTTGCATTGTTAGACTCAGTCATTTATTTGAGCAGAGCTTCAAAAAAATAAAATAGGAAAAGGAAAAATAATAATTAAAAACATTTTTATCATTTAATGGGGAAAATTTACATCTGTCGGTGGAAAAGCCAAAATGAGGCCAATAAATATTTCTTCTTATGGGCAATAATGACGTTAAAGTTCCTGATAATAACTGAAGATGATCGAGCAAAATCGAAGAAAAACATGATGACTCTTGAACAACTTCGCGATAAATTTAATCCATTATGTGACAACCTGAAAACATGCAAACCTGAAAAATCTTTTTATATTCTGAGTGCAATCGACTATTTGAGAAGATTAAGAAGATAAACTATGCCAATCGAGCTTAATAAAACTTCTTTGAATAAATTATTGCTGCCTATGTATACATTATATATATTTATTATATATATATATATATATATATATATATATGTGTGTGTGTGTGTGTGTGTGTGTGTGTGTGTGTGTGTGTACTTAGACACAAATTATAAACTTTTACAAAAATGGTCCGAAATATAGAAAAACAATGGGTTGTTCTTTAACCAAACTTATTTTCTGTTTGTCTGTCTTTTACTTTATATATATATATATATATATATATATATATATATATATATATATATACTTTACTAGCTACTCACCAATTAATTAATAACGCCGCATGAGATGGGTTAATATGCATTGAAACATGATTGCAATTGTGTAGCATTTTTATTACATGTTTTTCATGTAATGCCCTAAAATAAAGAATATTGCTCTACTTTTGTATTGAGCTCTCTCTTAAATTGAATGTTACGAACGTCGGAATTTGATTCTATTCGTTTTACACACACACACACACACACACACACACACACACACACACACACACACATATATATATATATATATATATATATAGAATTACTTCAAACGTTATTAGAGTGGGTACTCGTGTCTATTTAGAATATGAGTTTACTCTAATAACGTTTGAATTAATAAAAATCCTGGATTAAAATAAATTCATAATTCTTTAGAAAAATATACATACACACACACACACACATATATATATATATATATATATATATATATATATATATATATATATATATATTTATTTATAATGAGGTTATGAAATTTTATAACGTATGACCCATGATAGATGTTGAATATTTTTAGGAGAGTTGTAATTAAATGCTAAATTAAACGACGTCTAATTAGCTGATTTACATGTAGATAATTACGCAGTAACTCGGTTATATGATTGGTTAATTGATAAATATAAAGACGTCTGCATGTTGTAATTTGACTTGGTCTTTTTAATGTTTGTGAAAATAAGCAAGCAACCTTCTTTTCAGGAACGAAGAAGAGGAATTGAATAATGAAACGCTCAAAGCGATTATTTATTTTTAGAAACGAAATTGACATTAAAAGATTTTTATTAATTTCCGCCAGGTTGAATTATTTAACATTTTATTTGCTAGAAAATGTCATCAGGTTAATTACGGGCACACAAGCAAATTACGTAAAGAGATTGAATGCTTAACTAAATTTCTTAGAAATATGATTGGGCTAAGTTATTGTAAGTTATTTTTTTATTTCATGTGATAAGTAACTATTCGTAATTAACTACATTTGAATTGTTTAAAAATCTTTAATATCCACGGCAATGTCTCTTTAAATGTTGTTTGGTATTCTAATATGAACTAATGATATTAGTTTTTTTTTGTCTAATATAATCATCATTGTTTTGTTTTGATCATTGTTTTTTTTTTGGCTAGTACGTTTTTCGACCTTCCTCAATACTACCTAAATTCTTGAAGTACTGTCAACTCGCATCATTCTTTTTTTAATTTTACTATTATTCACCCAATACAAGATCTATTCAATGTCGAGAGTGGTGTTATAAGAGCATAATAGGGGGAAGCAAGAGTTGCATATTCTGAGGATATGTAGGATAGATAATTGTAGACCCTCGACTTTTAAGGGGTTCGAAAGTCTGTTTCACATTGCAACAGTTCTGGGGAAGAAGCTGTACGAGTGAAACGGAATATGAACGGAAGGAGGATAAGCGGTCAGCTTTAGTCTCCTTGGCAGGATGTTAGGTTTCAAGCTTTGAAGGTTGGGAACAGGTAGAATCAAGGAATGTAGTTCGTTCGCCGGAACATCTACCAAGGAAATGGCGATAGCGTAGCTAGAAGCGAGAAACATTCCGTCTTTGGGAAACAATTCATCCCTTACAAGACCGGCGTAGTCGTAATATTCCTTTCTGAGTAGAGGGATCCCCCAAACCCCGGGGAACATCTAGTTTTCATAATATGAGGGCATAAAATAAACGCACTTTGTATCTAAAGAACAGTTTAAAATAATGTAAAAATTGCGCGTATGAGTGTCACGTCGGCTTTCATAGCTTACTTCAGGATCTGAACTCTTCTAAAAAAATATATATATATATATATATATATATATATATATATATATATATATATATATATATATATTATAAATTAATTGATTTAAAATATGTTTTTTTCCGCTAATTCTAACCATGTTTCAAAAATATTTTTTGAAACATGGTTAGAACTTTGTATAAAAAACATTTTTAAATCAAATAATTATAATATTAATCTCTAAATTTACATTGAGCACTATTTTGTAAAAATAAAAATATCTATAAGAACACCGGATTTTATATCTTACTGTTCTTTCTTTATATATATATATATATATATATATATATATATATATATATATACTTTTAGGTTCTTTAAGTCGGAATCGGTTTCTGGATCTGCGGTTCCATCATGAAGTTCCGTGCCAACAATAACAGACTTGTAGGATTTCGATTTAAGATTGAATCTTGTCACGTCACCTATACTGCCAAAACATTGGACGGAAATCAATAAAACGTTTTTTTTTTTCCTTTGGTGCTACCATAATAATGTGCTCTCTGATATTTGGTTGATGTTAGATGTCCGCCTACCTGCTCTCCCAGGCAACGAAATCGAACAATCTGTTGCTCAGGGAAACGAACCACCTGTCCTCGCGTCCACCTCATCCACACATGCAACCTTCAATTCACTCATGATATTTATGAAGCTAAACACAAGGTCAAATCGGTGAAAACAAATGAGAGGCGATAGTCTTTCTTTTTCAAAGGATTGAACACCGATCACTGACACCGCATCTGTGTCAACGATTATTAAAATCTTCATGAACCATACCTACATACAAGTCCATATGAAAGGGAGCTTTTAACGACTTGCCGGCCCTATTGAATGTTAATTACTAGATATAGCTTTTAATTGCTTGGTGTCAGCTATCATCAAATCTTCGCGTTTTTATATGATATTTGTATTGGTGCTTGCGAAATCGAGGAGGGGGAAGTTTAACAAGCTACCCGAACTTTCGATTCGTTCTTTGATGTGGTGTTTACCAACATTCATGCCGATTGGGCACGGTGGAAATATTCTACATCCTAAATTGGTCTATCAAAGAATTCGGTATTGGAGACTTTTCTGAAACATAAGAACCTTTTCATTGGCTCGAGCTCAAAACAACGATGTTTATACTATTCTGACTAATAAAACAGGCAACATAACTTACAGGCTGAGCCTGTACTTATCCCTTTTCTTGAAACCTCAGCTTTTATCTGTGAAAAGTGAAGATCTTGTGTGGCTTCAGTTTATTCTGATCAACAATAACGGTCCTTTCTTTCTTGAAAAACAAAAGTCACATTGTCTTTTTTTATTTTTATTTTTATTTTTTTTTAGAGTCAAGCAAATTTTATTTTGATTAAACAACTAAACATAATTTCTGTTTTGTGAGACGGAATTGTGCGTGAAGTCACGAAGCATGATTCGTTCGAACGCAGATCTTGATGCGACATTTTCGTCAGGATTTGCTTTCTATTTTGTTCATCAGCGAAAAGAAAAACAATTAAAAAAATAACTGAAAATCGACAGATAAAACATTTTCTCAAAAAATGCAAATGAACGGAACTCGGTAAGTAGCAACAGAGAGAGAGAGAGAGAGAGAGAGGGGGAGAGAGGGTGGAGGTAGTAACAGAAGTAGTCAGAAGGAAAGAAAGAAAGAAAGAAAAAGAGGAAAGGATAAATATAAAAAAGAGGACGAGAAAGGGAGACATATAAAATGTGAATATATATGAGAGAGAGGGAAAGAGAGAGAGAGAGAGGACGGGAGTAGTAACGGAAGTAGTGAGAAGGAAAGAAAGAGGGGAAGAAAAAGAGGAAAGGATAAATATAGGAAAGAGGATAAGTAAGGGAGACATATAAAATGTGGATATATATGAGAGATAGGGATAGAGAGAGAGAGAGAGAGAGAGAGAGAGAGAGAGAGAGAGACGAGGGCACCTCGAAGCGGTTTGATGGTTAGCAAACTTGTCTCGCTAGAAGAATTACGATTGAAGAGTGAGTTCGATTCTCATTGGGGCCCCCATAATTTCGGCCTTGTGCCACATCTAAGCTACGCTTGGAAAATCACTATATGAGAGTGACGAAAGAAAATAAAAAATAATATGTGTGTGGGTGGGTGTGAGAGAATATGTGTGCGTGTGTGTGTCAGAATGAGCGAAAAGCAACTGTATAAAGGTTCAATTCCCAAACTTAATGAACCTAAGGTCTTGATGACCTTTCTGAGCAGGCGTAAAAAGGCGGGAAAGAAAGACGAAAGAAATGTAAAGTGTTTCCAGCGAGAGAGAGACGCTTAAACGTAGAAGAAATCATAGCCAAAAAAAAAAAAAAAAAAAAAAAGGAAATGAAAGAGTAGGTAGAGAAGTAGAAGGCAATAAATAGAAAGAAAGAAAGAAAGAAAGAAAGAAAGAAAAAATAAAGAAAGACAAAAGATGAGAAGTGACGAAGGGATGACTTGCACGTATAACCCAGTGGTGAAAGTATTGATCTTTAGGATTTCAAATTTTCCAACTTTGTTCTTTTTTTATCAATAAGAGAGGGAAAAATTTAAGATAAAATAATAATTTTTCAATAAAAAGTATGTCAGGCTACAGATTTATTCATTCAACCTAGTTTGTTATCCCGTGAACAAAAAACAGTAGAACATACATCACTTCTAACTCAGCAATCAATCACACTTCCAGTAGTAGCATATTAGATAATTGACACGACGGCAACGAAATAGAAAATTAAAACAAAGAATTAAATTTAAAAAAAAAAGAAGTTTAATCAGCCACAAGGAAAAGGTGAAAAGCTAATGATTAGTGATCTAGTCAGGTTGATCATTATTATTATTGGTGGCTCCATTTTTGTGGCCTTGTGCGCAAGCTTAGTAAAAAACAACAAAAAGGTCAAAAGAACAATAATTGTCTGAATGTCAAATGAGTGAAAAATTTGATCGCCTACAGACACTCGCCATTCATTTCTACTTGCTTCACCTTTTTACCTGCCACCTGGCCAGACAAACAAAATTCCCTGAAGTAGGAGTCCATTACGAGTCGACAGGAGTTAGTGTACATTCGGAAGTACACTGCTAATGTGTGGCCCGTTACTCGAAATCTTCGAACGGCAAAATGAATGCCATTAAAAGCAAGTAGATTCAAGAGTTTAACATTATTTATTGTTTTCTCTTCTCGCGTCCTTCTTTCTAGAGTGTGTGTGCGCAGGCTGGAATATTTACTTATGAATTCCAGTTTGAATCTGCACGTCTGAAATAATCAACACTGCCTGCGTAAACGTTCTTGCATCTCTGGGTAACTCAGTTTCAGTGCAGTCGCCAATTTCAAGCAAATAAGCCTCAAATAAAATTCTATGTGCCTTTGGCAAAAACTGTTATTCTTGCAAGGTGCACAAACATTACAATTAACATTGGTAGGAATGCATCCGCTTCTATCAAGAGGAATTTTATGTCGGTACTGACAATATTCAAAACTTCAAGCAAATATACAGAGAAGCCTTGAGGGATAAAACATCCTAAATGTGTTTTCTGTCGTTCAAAATTACCGATGAGTCATGGTCGACTATTTCAGATGATCACGGAAATCCGAATGCGCATTGTGATAGTGAAATATGTCTTCTAAAAGTTAAGCAAAGTGTTGAGAAACAGGAAAATTTCGTTAGAAACAAAGAAGAGTACTGAACTGTTATGTAATATCAGTCCTCCCATATGACAATGAATGCTGGACAATCTCCTCAAAGATGAAGAAGAGACTTGAGGCAACGGAAATGTGATTCTACAGAGGGATGCTAAGAACATGGGAGTAACGACGAAGTTTTATAGAAAATGGAATCAAAAAGGACATCAGGGACAGTTGAAATTTCGAGAGAATTGTTGTAGAGTAGTTCTCACAGTGGAGGCTTGTATTTCAATAAGTCGTCCTAAATTAGGTTCGACGTACAAAACGTTAGGAACTTGAAATAAGAGTTAATGACGCAGCAATCTAGTTGTGATGGTTGATACGTCAGACTCACTCAACACCACTGAGCCCAACTGGCTACTACTACTACTACTTATTATCTGTGGGAGAGTCTATTACAATAGAATAGGTATTATGGTATAACCAGAATATACTGAAGAAAGAGGGATTGGGAAATTTGATACGCACAAGGCAAGAGGTACAGAGGAAAACAACGCATTAGCGAGTTTGAGTAGATGGAAGGTAGGACAGGGTTTCGGAGTGATAACAAAAAGACACATTTATTAAGATCTACACAGTACAGGAAATTTGTGAGGAGCCATGATCAACAATGTCCTGAAGGAAGACGGCACATAGAAGAAGAGGGTTTGCCATATTCGATGCTGTGACAGATTTTTCTGCATCAAATTCTCTGAGATAATGATGCTTATTTAAATCAAGATTCAATATTTTTATGGCCGGAATTGACACGTGCATAAAAATGTAACGCTGGAATTTGGGTTTATGTTGCAATATACATGAAACAAAGGGGAAATTTATGATGATGAAATGCATCCAACTTATAAAGGAAATGGATTCTATTCTTAGAAATTAAAAAAGATCTCAAGCATTTTACCATTTTGACAATGTTATAATGAAGATTGAAGATAAATGTCACCTTTTTTATACTTCGATGTTTCCAAGGCAATTACAAGGTGCTCCAATAACTTGGATCGATTTTAAATATGAATTAACTTTAAGCGTTTAATGATTTTTTTCTTTTTCTTTCAGATTTGCCGGACATTTGGGCGATATTATTTTTCATACATAATTGCCATGACTTAAATAGCATGATCCAATAGAGAAATAAATAAATTTTCACCAATAAAACTGATTTATTTACTGCTGAATTTCATCCGTCTTAATGAAACACCTTTATATATAATCCGTTTAAATGAAACACCCTTTAGTTTAATAAGTTCTCAGGTGACTTCTGTAAATGTGAGATTGCGTAAAATCAACATTAAATTCATTTCTTTTGAGATTCTCTTTGACCTAATTTCTCTCTTTTGCCGATTTGTCGATATGGTAACAAGTATCATCGACCTTTCTAAGGAACGTCCTGGTATGACGATAAACTACATCCGCGTCCTGGGTAAGACAATAAACTACATCTGCGTCCTGGTTAAGACGATAAACTACATCCGGCAGCAAGGCCTCTGTTCAGGAGGTTTGTGGAGCGTGGAACCACCTCTTAATTGCTGGTGTTCCCAGATCCACCCTGACTCGGAGTGGTAGCACCTGTTAGGGTCCCAGCTATGGGCAAACAGTTAAACCCCAAACTGGGGGTGAAAACACTATGAAAGTGCAAAAATAGGTTTTAATACCAGTAATACATTTTTGCAAAATGTTATTGCCAGCAATAAAGTTTTGAAGAAAATAATCATTACCAGCAATACATTTTTGAGGAAGAAATATTAGTAGCAATATATTTTTGAAAAAAAAAAATATTACCAGTAATAGAATTCTTGTCGGCATTAACTAACCCATTGAAGTTGATATGCAGTAAAACAAACCCAACCAAAAGATACTAAGATCTAAATATTTATTTGCACAAAAGGTACAAAATGTGCTACAACAGCTAAAATGTGGTTGGATGTGTATCTGGTCTTCTCTAATAAAATTCAACAACAATAACGACCTTGACTCACTTTCGTTTGTTAGGCATTAAATAACATCACTTAGCAGCCTTTATAGTTTAACTTGACTTTCACAGTTAGGCTTAGGAATATTTATAAGCGTTCTTAAATTTAAATTTTTTTTACTTCCGTTTATAAATACTTGTAAAATAAAAAGCTTACATTTTCCTTGATAGAGTCCATCAAAGGACGAAACGCAAGGATAAATTTGCTTTTTGTCTTTATTTCACATATCTGATTGTATTGAAAAATTTCTTTGTACAAATTATATACTTTATCCCCCAATCGCTGTAAGATTAATTTACTTTTTATTATTATGGGTTGGCGGATTTCAACTCAGCGTAGCAAGTAAGTGTATAAGATAAAGATCAAATACAAATATATGGGAGCGAAATCTATGCCTTTACCTTTACATATACGCGGCTCTTTATATGCATTTGAATATAAACATTGGGTAACGTTTCTGTCTATATTTCTGAGATGAATTAAACTGTACACTATTTACATTATTCAGACTATTGTCCTCATCTTTATCGCCATATTTATTACAACGTTTTATAAAGGAAAAATCTGTCTATATTTCTGAGATGAGGAATTATGTACATTATTTACATTATTCGGACTATTGTCCTCATCTTTATCGCCATATTTATTACAACGTTTCAGCATATAACATCAGGACAACCTTCGAAAGCTTGACGACACTTCGCAAATATCTCTCCCGGTTAAGACCCCCCCCATAGAGGAGAACATGACTAAAGACTGTGTGTAGGGTATCCCGTGCAGCGGCGGAAAGAAATATAAAAGAGAGACAGGCCGCCCCCTTAAGGTAAGGCTTCGAGAACATCAGAAAGCTACAACACAAGGGGAAGTGAAAAAATCAGGCGTGGCTGACCACATATGGAGAGAGAAGGGTGATCACCGCCCCGCTGTGGGGTCAGGTTGAGATCATAGACAATGAACACCATAGGAAAATTCGTAAACTTAAGGAATCAGCACATATGCTAGGCCACAAAAATCTCCTGAGCCGACCAAGCATAGAAATGAATACAATATGGGAACCAGTAATAAAGAGTGCCAGAGAAAAGCGATAATAACAACAAAATGTTGCAATATTAGCACTAGTAAAAAAAATGCAATGATATCAGCAAAAAAAAAAAAAAAAAAAAATTGCAATATGAGCACTGGTAAAAATGGTTGCTGAAGACATTAGGTTTATAATTCATAAACAAATTCATAGACAGATGTCCTCAAGGACACATGGCACAGTGAATAAAGGCGTTGGTTAGATCCAGTGACAGGACCCAAAGAGTGAGTTCAATACCCGGTTAAGGCAGTGGAGAACTTTCAGAGGGAAATTAACAGGCGATAGCTGATAACTGACATCCATTAAACATGGCACGTGGAACTAGAACAGTCTACCCCAGTGAGCGAAATGAAGAGTTCAGTTCGACATTCTAACCACCTGAGGAAGGCCGGAGCGTACAACGTTGTAATAAATATGGCGACATAGTCCGAATAATGTAAATAATTGGGTAACGTTGTTCAGTTGGAAACAACCTAGCCGACCATCTTGAGGTAGCATCCAAACTGAAAAATGCTGTTTCGAAATTGAATTTTACACAAGACATATCGAACAAATTTCGTTATGAAGCCATTTTCTTTCTTGAAGATAGAC